AAAACGTTGAACCCCGACATTTTCGTCGCAGCCTTGTTGAGTAATCCGCAGGAAACCGTGGACGCACATTTTGTGGAAAAAGTGCAGCGGTGTACCATGCGTGGAATGCTAAGGGCTGTAGTTTCTTTAATGAATCCCTCCCCCCCCTGCTTCGGCCTGTTTCTCTGAATTAGGTATTCCACGTTTTCGCTTCTGACCCACACGGGCGCCAGGATTGCTACACGGACCTGTTCAACCTAGCCAAGTCAGTCTACGTCTATTATCGATCCACCGGGCTACCGTCCCAGATAACTGTCTAGCAAACGCATTAGCCTTTCCGGACACTCATTGGCACTGCAAGCCTGCTATGCAGCCTTAAAAAAGTCGGTGATTGCCTCCTATTGTTATCTTCCCTGTCTTCGGTTAAATGCGACTTGATCCAGACTATGCATGTTAAAGCGCACCCATAACCTTAGTCCAAGCAGAGATCTCGTGGATCACCCTAAAACCTCAGTTCAAAAAGGCAAGCACAGACAATCGACAAAGCAATTGTATCGTTGGCAAGTCCGCGCTAAGTAATTATGTAAAATACGTGAATAGGAACCCCTTCCCTCCAATCCGGCAATACAGGTGACCTTGCTTGAAATTCCGCGACGGTCAAGTAGTGCCATGTCCTAATCGTAACATTGACCTTGACCCTAAAATTGACCATTACCCTGATCTCAACCCTTACATAAGTTCTAACCTCTCCAGAACTTAGCGTATGACCCCTGGAGCAGGGTGAGTGTCCGACTCCCGTATTTTTCGGGTAGTCTTATGTTGAGGCCGAAAAAGCCCTTCAGCAAAACGCGCTTTTGCTGTTTGCATCGTTTCTCCAGTGTCAGTGGATATAAACAGATGTTACTACAGGCCTCTCCAAAGTCCGCAAGTTCATATTGTGATGAAATAGCGAATGCAGTCCACGGCATTGCCTCGTTGTCATTCGATACCACTTTTTCATGGAAAGCCGTCGGGTGCAATGCGCCTCGCTAGAGGATTTTTGGGGGACATTTTATATGCCAATTCTAATCAAGAAGTTATACGCCCTGACTTAATGACAGTTCGACCGTCGTGACCGATGACGTCCACGGTGTGCTTTGCAGCAGACTAAGAGTAGGCACAGTGAAGTAGCTTATAGCGAAAGTCGACTTGCGCAGCACCTACCGCACTCTCCTTCCCCACCTGGGCCCGACGCCCATGACATGGTCAAGAAGGCCGGTGTTAGATGGCACGGCGAATGAACCCGCGCCTAGGCGTACCACCATGCCCCCTGACCCACAATACATATTAACCAGGGTTTTATACATCAAGAAAAAAATGAGACTGTATGCAACCCGATTTGACGCGGCGGGAGCCTGCAGCAACAACCCTGGCCCACAATACACACTGACCGGGATTTAGAATCCAACAAAAACAACAGCGACAGATGACGTTGCCGAAGCCAGCCCTAGGCGTGCCGCCTTACCCGGCTCGGCTCCCACGGTGTGGGAGTGCCATCGAGGCTACGTTATGAGGGAGCCATTGCAGCCTGACTCTCAGATCACCGGTCCTCCACTCCACATAGACAAATATACTGGGCCGATTGCAATGTCCAAGTTGTCCGTCAGTTGGCAGCCTTCCAAGCCACGGTTAGAAAGAAAACGATGACACAAATCACTGGGCAGCCATGCACATGGTCTGTATATCCAGCGGGAGCGCAGACGCATTAACCGGCATGGAATCAGGTGTCAGAGAACTGTCAGCGCACACCAGACTGCGAGGGCCATGGTCTGCTGAAGCGCTGCATGGCATACGCACACAATCCGTAAAGCTCTGACGTAGTACAGATGCCCTGACAGCATGCGAATTTCTACCTTACTGCTTGTTTGAAAACTGTGAGGCAGCTTCCATGCATCACCCATACCAGCAAAGAATGCTGATTTCTAATGAATGCGGGTGCAGACCTCGGACTTCGGTAATTTTAAACATCAGATTATTCAAGCCACCTCTTCGTAATCGAGCCCATTTCTTGTCTGACAAGCATGTTTTTATTCAGATTGGCAAAGCTGAGAGATCCGGGTTGATTATTTGAAGAAGAAGATGAAGAAGAAGAAGAAGAAGAAGAAGAAGAAGAAGAAGAAGAAGAAGAAGAAAAAGAAGAAGAAGAAGAAGGTGGGCTCACCGGAACAGGTTTATTAGGATGCTGACGTTTCGAAGAGCTTGGTCGGCTCTCCATTGTCAAAGCGTAAAATGCACTCAATCCACCAGAGATCCCAAGTGGCGTGTCACGTTGGACGGCCTCCTGCTGGTCGATTTTTTTTCTCTATCTCTCCTCTCGCTGCCGCGGCCTATCAAGGGATGGTTGACTGGTGTTTTGTCTGCGTGCATTGTAAGTCACCACTCCGCCGGGGAGGAGGTGACTGAACCAGTGTCGGGTGGGCGGTTTGGCGGTTCTTCTTCCTCACCGAGTAAACTCGCCGTCGGGCTGCCTCCGTATGGCCTCCTTAAGCCCGGTGTGGTTGTTTGGTCCTGAGCTCTACGATTGTGATGACGTAGGACTTTGTAGGCTGCAGGAAGGTCCTGATGCCTGTTTATGGAGTGGGCATCGGAGAACCACGCCTCAAGAGTTAGCCGTTCTGCTTTTGTGTTGCCCCGGCCTAAGATTGTAGCTCGCTGGAGATCGAAAGTATGCCCAGTTTCTCCAATGTGTGTTGCTAATTGAGAATTTGGGTCCAACCTCCGAGTAGCTGATTTGTGCTCCTGTAGGCGAGTCTGCAATTTCAGCCCGGTTTCTCCCACATAGTTGCAGTCGCCATCTTTGCAATTTATTTTGTAGATAACTGCAGAGGTTTCGGCGGGTGACAAGGGGTCCTTCGGTTGCATCAGACGGCGTCGAATTTTTGCCTGTGGTCGGTGGGCTATGCCTACTCTGGCCGGTTGTAACAATCGAGAGACCGCCTTAGAGACCCCTTTAACGTAGGGAATGGCCCTCCATACTTCAGGTTGCTGCTCTTTTGGCCGTCGTCTGTGCACCCGACGTCTGCTTATGTTTTTGTGTTTTTTTACTTTATGTTTTGGCGCCCACTCCCATCTATCTGACCGTTTTTTGCATGTTACCCACAAATATCGATTTTAATATCCCCACAGAACCACTGCCTAGAGTTACGAAATCCACAGAGATTCTTCAAGGTAGCTACACTAAGAGACACCATCTGCCTAGATTCACTACTCACCACGTACGGTACGTACCGTTGCATTGCGCCTCAACCTGCAACATAAATATCGAAAGCGCCTACTTCAAGATTACTAGTAGGAATGTTATTTCAGTTTGAATATTTGCAAGGTACGAACGGTGAGGTGACGACTCAGCTACACGTTGAAAATTCGAGAAGCACACGGTACCTTGTATCACTCAAAAGCATTGATTGTAAGCTCTTGTCGGCCCAGTCCTCAGTCATACATCGCTAACTTGACGATTGTACACTAATTTCCGAAACCGCTCTGTTTTACAGCAGTCTCGCCTGCAATAACTGATGAACAACGAAGCTCGTGAGCTACCTAAATTACTGTTGACCGTGGGATGCCCGAAGCAGATAAAAAGGATTTCGTCCATGGCACGCTTACGAAAACAATTGCAACTCCATACTGGCATAAATTTAACCCGGCTACCGCTGCGCTTTTACAGTTTTTACGGCCATCGCTACGCGCATTCCCGAATGTGGAACGCTCCAGGACTCTGCAAGCACCATCACGACATAGGCACTCTTGTACAAGTGCCTACAAACGACTCCTCCCCACCCCCGCTTTCTTTTAACGATTGGAATTTCCCTTTGGTCATTTACGAACCAGGACTTGTAATTTGTTGGGGACGGGAGAGATATCAGTCG